TCTGGTTTCCGTCATGGTGTCCTGTTGCGCCAGAAGTGGTTTATAGTCATGCTGGCCACATGACCTGGAAAGCTCTCTGTGGACAAAAACCAGATCCCTCGGCCTGAAAGTGAGATGAGTGTCGCAACCCCATAGTTGCCTTTGACTAGACTTAACCGTCCAGGGGTCCTTTACCTTTACCTACTACTAATTTATTACTTATACCCCCCCCACCCATCTAGCTGGGGTGGCCCAGCCACTCTGGGTGGCTTCCAACATAATAAAAACACAGCAAAATGTCAAACATTAAAAGCTTCCCAATACAGGGCTGCCTTTTGATGTCTTCGGAAAGTTGTGTAGTTGTTAATTTGTTTGACATCTGATGGGTGGGCGTTCCATAGGACGGGCACGACTACAAAAAAGGCCCTCTGCCTGGTTCCCTGTGACCTTACTTTTTGCAGTGAGGGAACCACCAGAAGGCCCTCAGAGCTGGACCTCCGTGTCTGGGCTAAAGGCTGAGGGTGGAGACGCTCTTTCAGGTATACAGGGCTGAGGCCATTTAGGGCTTTAAAGGTCAGCACAATCACTGTGCTCAAAAATGTACTGGCAGCCAATGCAGATCTTTTATGACCAGAGATATTTGGCCCTGGTGATCACTTCTGACTTTCCCATTTGTCAGAATAGACTCAACTGACTGCATTAAGGATCCAGTTATAAGTTAGGAGATAATACTTGCGAGTAGGTAAATCCCATGGAACTAAATGCCCCTGCAGTACCCCACTTGTTGCTTTTTTCCAGGATGACAAGAAATTATTAATGAGTCCTATTTAGGTTCAAACCACTACAAATCCACCTAACAGTTACCTCGTCCAACTCACAACTCACATTTTACCAGCTACCTCACAAGGATATCATGGGGGACTGACTTTGATTTGATAGCCGTAACTCAGTTTTAATCTTGTTGCAGCATGTCTCCTTTACGATGCTTACAGACAGCTGTGGTTGAGTGGCACGCAAATGGTTTTTAATAATAATAATAATAATAATAATAATAATAATAATAATAAATAAATAAATAATTTATTATTTGTACCCCGCCCATCTGGCTGGGTTTCCCCAGCCACTCTGGGCGGCTTCCACAAAGACCAAAAATACACTAAGATGCCACATATTAAAAACTTCCCTAAACAGAGCTGCCTTCAGATGTCTTCTGAATGTCAGGTAGTTGTTTATCTCTTTGACATCTGAGGGGAGGGCGTTCCACAGGGCGGGCGCCACTACCGAGAAGGCCCTCTGCCTGGTTCCCTGTAGCTTTGCTTCTCGCAATGAGCGAACCACCAGAAGGCCCTTGGCGCTGAACCTCAGTGTCCAGGCAGAACGATGGGGGTGGAGACACTCCTTCAGGTATACTGGGCCGAGGCCATTTAGGGCTTTAAAGGCCAACACCAACACTTTGAATTGTGCTCAGAAACATACTGAAGTACATAAATAAACCACGACCCACGCTGCTTGATGTATGTATCCAAAATGTCACTGAAACCTTCTTAATCCATTTCAAAGGGAACAAGTCAGATGAAGCAGAGAAGCGCCAAGTCCTGTTTGAAGATGCTTGCACTCTAGCGGAGAAGCATGGCATCCTTGCTGTATTGGAGACATCTGCCAAAGAGGCCCAGAATGTTGATGAAGTCTTCATCCTCATGGCTAAAGAGCTGATGGCCAGGAACACCTTGCAGCTGCATGGCGAGGCTGCCTATTCAGATACCATCCATCTGGACAGCAGGCCAGTGGTTTCTAATTGGGATGATGAGAAGTCCAACTGCTCATGTTGATGAGGTACTTCAAGGAGAAGAAGCAACCAGGGGCGATTCCTGGGGCCTGCTTTTGTTATGAGAATCCCCCTGCTAGCCTCATTTTGCCACCTTGATAACATTTCAGCCAGGCAACTTCGACTTCGTGTCGTTCTTCAGAAGCAGAGGCCACCCTTTGTTCTGACGGGTTGCAGTGGCTGAGACTGGCAGTGCTACCTTTTCAGTTGAAGAGAAGGAAGGTCTATGGGAAACCATTTGCTTAAGTGGACAGTTAACTATTTTTTGCCCAGTCAGGTGTCTGTTTGTTTCTACCAATGGCTGTGGAAAATAATGGTGTGTTTACTTGCCAGTAACTACAATCTCTTCTTGTATATGTTAGCTTCTAATTGGTGGTGCCTTTGACAACCATTGGCAGCCGGTGTAGTGAAATGTTAAAAGAATGGCTTTGAATGGTTGCATCCCAGATGAGTCCTTTACCAAGCGACCCAGTGCTTTTGTAGCAATCTCAGAAACTTGACTGGCCTTTTTTGTCAGTTTTCTTAGGATTCTCCCTACCTCTCCTTGCCATCAATGGCTAGCCTTTATGAAGATGTTTAAGGGGGGATTTTTATGTGCCTGTTTCTTTTACTCACTCCAATTGATGGCAAACAATTCAAAGTAAAAAGCGTTTATATGATGTTCCCTTTTGGAAATTTGAATCGACTGAAGTTGTTACACCAGAGTTTTCCAACTATGTGTAATATAGTTTTACATCTACTACAAGTTTTATCAAAGAACATCCCCGGTTTAGCCTAAGAGGGCATCTGGTCCACAGGTCACCAGCCTCTTTTTAAGCCTTGTGGCACATTTGGAGTTTTTAGCGAGTGCGGTGGGTGTCGTTTCTCTCTCCCTCTACCCCCCCCCCCGCACAAAGAACCAGTGGAAGAGAGCACATCTGCACACAATTCACCTTTCGTGGGATGTGGGTGAAAGTTGGATTCAGTAGAATTTGAGTCATGGAAAGCCCATAGATCTGAAAGAGGAAGTGGCAAAGAACATGACTCTTCCAACTTCCTCCTATGCACTTACTAAGGGAGAAAATGGTAATCACCCTAAGCATCTCATGACCAAGGGGGGAGGGCTCGGGTTTTGTGGGTTCCACAGAAGCCACATTGGTGACCTGTGATTTAGTCTAACATTCTCTTGCCAGGCAGTTGCCTCAAGCAAGTTTGTCCATAGGGCCTGAAATACATCAGCCATTGTCCTTCTCATGCACTGGGCATCTGCATAGAGTAATGTAGGAGGATAAAAGCTAAGACAGGAGCCACAACCACATCCTGTGGCAGTGGATTCAGTGGATTCTATACAATGATGTGTTAAATAGTACTTCCCTTTCTTTCTGTCTGTCCGGAAGCAATGGAGTCTCAACTTCATGCTGTGACCTTGAGGTCTCTTCTTATGAGGGACGGAAATCTCTGTCCGTTATCAGTGCATGATGTTGGCTCAGGAATAAATAAGTATATAGAAAGGAGAATTCCTGGATTGCAAGATCCAAGTTTGGGGCTCATTGGTGAGAGAACCCCAGCAGAGATTTAAAACCACAAAGCAATGCAGCAACATAAGGCATGGAAATATAGGCTGTTAAGACTTTAAAAATATGTCTATGTGAGTTCCAAAATAGTTGCCTCTTCTCCCAGCATAGGAAAAGACCATGTTTAGTACGTTAAAAATGGTTTACTTACAAACTCTCCAAAGGTCAGATTCACATGCTTTTGCATACATCAGTCAGAAAGGCTGCACAGGCCTTTCTTAGTTTAGTTGCAAGGTGGTGAAAGTTATTATTGGTAATAATTATTGGTTTAGGAACTCAAGAGTGGCTTGAGAGAGCCACGCGGTCTGAACTGGAGAAACCAGTTCGGACTTCACACATTGAGCTTCTCAGGTAGACCTCCTCCCAAGGTGAAGGGGAATGACCTAGGCTAAGCCTGACAGATATCTTGCTCTATGGTCTTAACCCCTTCATGCATTACTTAAGACTTAAGCATGTTGGTTAAATAAGAATGAGACTGGTTATCCCACACGTGAATGGAGCCCCACACAGAATTGCTGGAGTAGCTCAAGGCCCTCCTAGCCAGCAACAGTGACAGCCACTTGTATCCACCTAATTATTTCCACATTAGCAAAGTCCCCAAATAAACAGGACAGCTAGCTCATGCTTCTGCCTCTATAGTTTATGCATGTGCATAATGCTTGGGCTACAGTGGATATGAAAATCTGTGAACTGGCAAAAAAATTAGTTTTTACTGTTGCTGATAAGTTGTAAAAAGTGCTGCCGACATCCATTGGGGGGGGGGGAGAGAAAAGAAATAAATTAGGCAATTGCTGTTCACCCCACCACCACTTCTCGTGACTCAGTTTGTGCATACATGTGAACTGAATTGCAACCACTTTGACTGTTTTCAGCCTGAGGGTAGAGCGAGTCTTTTTTTAGCAATCTGTATGCTGTTCTGGGAGTGTTTTTTGGGTTAATGCCTGAAATAAGGCTGTTTCTCTCATCCTTCCAAGGCACTCTCATGCAACTACTATGGATGACCACATAATCTGAAAGGTGTACTGAGGCACAAAATGCCCATGAAAAGGGATACAGCATGTCAACAGATAGCACTGTACTAATTTCAATAGTTTATACCACCATATTTATCTCTGAATACTTGTGTGTCTGAACACATGCCTCAACCTAGGGGAAACATTTTACCCGACATCTTCATGAATCTCACTCATTTTGATAGTAGCACCTGCCTTTGAAACACAGATTAGGTCAGCATTTTCTGATTTAAGGCAGTTAGGTCTCATTGGCTACAAAGTGACAACCTGACGTTACACGTTTTACTCCCAATTCAGTGGCAAGGATTAAAGCATAGGTCTCATGCCATTACTCAAAAATAATAATAATTTTTTTTTGGTCTCTCTCATACAAAGCTTCTCTCTTCTTTATAACATTGCAATTAGTTGAATCTATATGTTGATATTAAACATGAGGGGGATGGAAATATCCAGATGACCAGTTGCTACTGGTGACTAAAAACTGTATGCAGAGGTCAGGAAACACATTTTCATCCTAAATTTTGCAAAAGGTTTTTTGCAGCCCACATTTGAGAAAACCGCTATTACGACAAAATCGAGAGCACATGGGAACGTAACTAAAATATAGGAGTTGCAAAAGTTGAAAACGAATTTGCTTTTCGGTTGTTGTTTTTTTATTATTATTTGGGAAAAGTGCTTCTTACAAAAGGCAGCTGCAAAGTAACACAGACTTCAGCAACAGTTTCCAATTCCATTTAAAAGTGAAAGGAGACGCAATCCAAAGGACATAAGCAGCAGAACAGTTTTAAGGACAATCCAGCAGCATTAAATGTAAATGGAAAGTGAAAATTCCATTAAAGAGACAGTGGGAAGAGGGAGAAAAGGGTTGGGGGGCTGGGGGCATCTGGAGTTTTTTCTTGGCAGAACTGGAGCCTGATTGCGCGGCTGCTTGTTTGATGGGTACAGCCAAGAGGTGGGTTCTTTTAAACAGAGAGAGAGAGAGAGAAAGAAAGAAAGAAAGAAAGAAAGAGATAGAAGTGTTTTCCTGGATAAAACTCTTGAGTGATTGCTAATGATGATCTCAAACATGTCTAAGAGGAAGGAAATACAGGGATTCTAAGATGCTGGTGCCCTAACTGGGTACTAGGCTGGTCAGAACCCTCTTTGGCTAACCATATCCCCGTGCCTGTGCAGCCCAAAAGGAGTGTAAAGGTGGCTGGGAAGATATAAGAGTGCTGGTGTCATTAAGGAGATGCCTATCACCAAGTTAAATGAGCTGGTTTCGAGACCACTTCCCCAAAAAAACTTGGTTGAGACCACGGCTGCTTCAAAGCTCGCAGGGACTTCAGACTTCATGCGCCAAGAAAAGGGGTGGTGGTGGGGTCTAAAGTGGGTGATGGTGAAAGAGAAAAGAAGAGAGAAGCGAAAGGGTTTAATACACACATATACTAAGTTGCCCAGCCCTTGGGATACAACTCTGCATTTTATTTGTATATACATACATAGAAAGTTCTCCTTTCACACACAAAAAACCACATTTCCCTCTCATGCCGAACAGTAAAAACCCGGAACATTCACGCCTGGTTCTGGTTACACAGTAGTAAATAGTAATGTGCAAGTAAACAAGTGACCAAAACCACAAATGAACACGTGTACATGGGGTGGGAGTCGGGTCTGGAATGGAACTGAAGCCGGCCAAGGGAAAAGAACGAACAGACGACACCGCTGGCCCGAAATCTGAAGTAGTAAAAAATAAATGCTTCCGAAGTCCGTAATGGAAAGAGGCCATTGGCCAACTCCTGCCCATCCCTGCCCCTGCCGCACAACCGCCGCTCTCACATTTGTCTCTGGGCTCTTCAAGATGAGTGTGGAAGTCCTGTAAACACTTGAACCTTGGAACTGGGTGAATCCCCGACAGGAACACAGATATGAAGCAACAAGTCTAATCTAACTGTCTGACAGTTAAATTCCTTTTTTTTTTTTACAAAAAAAAAACCCTAACGTTTTAAAGGTTTATTACATGTCATTTGTTTAACAGAGAAGAAAAAAACACACACTCCTGGGGTTGGGGGAGCTTTGAGGCCGGGAGAAAGGAGGGCGGGGTGGGGTTCGGGGAGAGGAGGAGACAGACCCTGGGTAAAAAGTTATTACAACAGCAGCACCTGGAATGGATAGGCCTGCCTAGGAGGAGAAAAAAACACAGGCACTGCCACAACACCACAGGAAAAAGAGCTACTGCCTGAAAACTGGAGCAGGCAGTCCAAAACTCCACAAAGAGGTGCTATAGAGCCAAGTCGTAATAGTCTTCCAGCTCATCGTGAAACAAGTCCCATTCGTCCTCTGAGTCTGTCAGGTCATCGTCGCCTCCTGCTGCCAACAGCATGAGAAGCATCTCGCCCAGCTCAAAGGTCACCACCTCGTCCTCGTCGTTCTCAAAGGGATCGCTGCCCTCCCTGTCCTCGATGAACTCCCAAAACCGATTTCTCCGTTGGGCCTGCAAGGGAAGCATAAGAGATTGCCCTCAGGTGTCTCACATTTCCCATACTCTCTCTTGTAAGGCAGCAAGCGCAAAGGCACATCTCTCTCTCTCTTGTATTACATGTTCTTCTACCAAATACTAGGCAAAACTGGTAACATTCAGGGCACCTCTAGGCAGAGAGATTTTGGGCGCCTGGTATGCTGACTGAGCGCTACTGATCCCGCAAGCCGCAGAGGCAGACTGTTGTGCTGATCCCAGCCAGCACACAATGGCAGTCTGAGGGACATGGGGAAGGCAATAGCTTGGTGGCAGAGTGCATGCTTTGTTTGCAAATGCTCCCAAGTTCAGTCCCTGGCATCTCCAGATATGGCTCGGAAAGATGCCTGCATGAAACGTGGGAGAGATGCTGACAGTCAGTGTTGAGAATAATGGAGTTGGATAGACCCACAATCTGGCTCACTGTGAGGCAGCTTGACTGAGCAGCTTTGTACCATCTTATTTTATTGGATGTTATTACAGTGGTACCTCGGGTTACATACGCTTCAGGTTACACACTCTGTTAACCCAGAAATAGTGCTTCAGGTTAAGAACTTTGCTTCAGGATGAGAACAGAAATCGTGCTCCGGCGGCGCAGTGGCAGCAGTGTATTTCTGATGGAGGAACCAACTCAGCATTTCCAACTCAGGAAGGAAGGATGTGCTCTATCCATATACAAGTGTGATTATGTTCAAGGCAGTAGGACTACCATGTCAACACACTCCTTCTCTTCCCAAATTAGATGGAGTTTTGCATTATTTTCTTTCCACTGCTTTAAAATAACTCAGTTGAAGCTGCTCCCTGGGCAAAGAAAATCTGAAATAGTATTTTGGTTAGGGTTAAAAAGGAGATTGCAGTAGGAAGTTGCACAAAAAAACTCTCTTCCTGCGAACTGCATCAACTCTCATCGCCACCCCATTTTACAATTTTTCATGGATGCTCATTTAGAGCAAAGGCAGGAAGCATTGGGCCTTATTCCAATTTGGCTTTGGGCTATCAAATAGCCAAGTCTGATTGGCTATGTGATGCCATTATGTGGTCTAAATGATGCCTGATTGGCTGGGATCATGTCAGGAAGAAGTCCATTTTTTTTAAATAGCACCCAAGTTGCAGATTGGAAAAAGCAGCATCCATTAGCGTGCATATGTGTGTACGCACACACACATTATTTATTTATTTATTTTTATTATTATTATTTCAACTTATACACCACCCTATACCTAGAGGCCTTAGGGTGGTTCACAACAAGACCACAACATATAAAATCAAACAAGAAGCAGTAACCCAATAACACCCCCCCAAGCCACATTCTAAAAGGGTGTCTATCAGATCAAAGGCCTGGTTAAAAAGGAATCTTTTTGCCTGGTGCCTAAAGGTGTATAATGAAGGCGCCAGGCGAACTTCCCTGGGGAGAGCATTCCACAGACGGGGAGCCACTGCAGAGAAGGCCTGTTCTCGTGTTGCCACCCTCTGGAACTCTCGTTAAGGAGGCACACGAAGGAGGGTCTCAGAAGATGATCTCAGGGACCAGGTAGGTTCATATGCATATATTTAATCTTGCCTCCCCCAACCTTGCCCTTTTGATCCCCAACATTTTGTGAGTAAAAAGAAGGCGCTGTCCTAATTTTCCTGCACTTTTGCACACACATCCTCCAACATCTTTTTTAAAAAAATGAATCATCAAAAGCTGTGGGACTTACTCTGTATCTACTCGAAGTTCCCACTTTCTGCCTCTGGGGCTCCTCTCGGCGGCCATCGGGATATGCGTGTTTGTAAAAACAGTTCCCTCCAAATGGGCAGCTCCCACGGCCTTCATCAAAATACCTGCATGGCTTGTTGCTGGAAAGGAAAATATCGCAACCCTTACTCACAGCATAGCCAATCAGAATTCAGTACTGCATTTGCTTTATAATCCAGGTGATTTTGTTTTCTTTAAACAAAAGAAGAGGTATTGCTTGCCGCCAAAGCCATTTAAAACCAATTAACACATGTACACAATGGATTACATCGATGTGCATACTCAAAGGGTGTGCGCATGGGTAGGTGCATGCAGAGGAGAACATCTGTATTAGCCTGTGCTGTCATTTTAAGGCAAGGTTGTGGTTGGGTAGACAAGGGAAGAGCACGTGAGGTTGTCTGGCGCAAAAGAGTGACCAAGTAGCTTGTGTGGTCTGCATGCATCTACCAGTGGTTAGATAAAGATGCATTTCACACACAGAAAGGGGTAGGAAGGAGGTATGAGGGCTTTAGGTAACATCGTGCTTTTCTCCGTGTACGCCCTTAATGTCTGCAGTCAAACTTGGCCCGAGGCTGCAGGGCTCATACCTCATTGCCTCCTTGTATTTCTGAATGAGTTTCTGCTTCTCTTCCTTCTCCTCCACCCAGTACTCACTTGGAATGACAAAGTTAGATGTGATCCGGCATTCTGGGCAGGACCTGGGGAACGAACAGACTGCACTGCAAAATTCCACATGACAGGGACGCTATCTCCAGCTACAGACATACCATGGTATATGCCCACCTTTTAAAAGCAGTCTATCGCACCTCAGAATCTTTGCACCGCGGTTCTTTCACAACCTAAAAGCTCTCCCCACCCCCAAACCCCTCCATTTCCTGAGGTTCTAAATTTTGCAGCATGTCCGTTTCTTAAGAGCAATGGGGGGTTAAAAAAAAAACATTTCACACACAGACTCATTTTTCTTTAGATATAAATAAATTTATTTTTGTAACTTTGCTTTCTTGGAAGTCCATATTGGTTTGGGTTTGATTTTTCCAAGCAGACTTTAAAGAGGGATGGGTCACTGGCTCAATAATGAACTAGAAGAGCGAAGGTTTAGGAAACACACATTTGGAACTGATCGGTCTCTTTTCACCATCTGAACCCAAATGATTTTGTATGGTAACCAATAGGACAGCATGTTGCCACCATTCAACAAAAAGAAGTTATGACTTAACATTCAAACTAAATGGATCTTGCTGACCAGTCACGAGTACCAAGGTCAGAAGAATATCCAATAAAACCCTCAATTCTGAATAACGTTACTTATGTATTAAACGCAGTCTTAGGACGAAAGAGGGGCGATGTTGCAAGTTCACACAACATACTAACATCTTCCCAAGAAACAAAGCACAACGGACATGGGGAAGTGCCTCACTTTATGATCTTGCTCTCAAATTGTTTAGCGCTCCTCCACTTGCGGATGCACTTGAGACAGTAAGTGTGATTGCAGTTGGAGAGGATCCCAAAGCGACGCTCGCTGGGGTTGGCTTTTTCATACACCACCTCCATGCAGATGCCACACACCATGTCTTTGCTACGCTGGACGGCAAAGGAGAGCTCCATGTCCTTCTCGTGAGCCTCGATGCAAGACTGCAAGGGAAAGAGTAAGAAAATGACAGACAACGTCTTCCAAATACAAGGTCAAGTTTGGAGGACCAACCTTGCCTCGTTCCCGTCAATGGGAAATCAATGCAACAAACTCTTCTGCTTGAAAACTCGAAAAATATAATATATACATGATCTTCCAGGGGTTCACATATAAAAGGTTCTCTTTACAAGGAATCTTAAGCAAGGTGTGAAAGTTATGGGAGATAAGTTTTTCTCCCTCTTATAATGCTAGAAACCAGGGCTACTCAATGAAGCGAAAAATGGGAAGATTCAGGATAGACAAAATTACTTCTTCCTACAACACACAGTTAAACTCTGGAATATGCTACCACAAGATGTTGTAACTACCACCAACCTTGATGGCTTTGAAACAGGTTCAGACAAATTCATGGAAGGTACAGGCTATTGGAGGCTAAGTTTTCCCTCCACTGTTGGAGGGAGAATGGTGCCCTAGTACTGGAACCTTAAGGCAAGGATGGGGAACCTGGTGCCCTCCGGATATAGTGGGAGTCCCAACTATGTACAAGGCCAACAGTCATGGACAGCGGGAGTTGCAGTCCAACACTGGGAGGGTTACAAGTTTCCCATCCCTGCTTTAAAACATGCCATGCATCTCCCCTCACTCACATCATGTTCCTTGATCTACTTTCCATCTTGGCTGGAAGGTAAGAACTGCCAAGGTGTCTGGAATACCAAGGATTGAATGGTTGCCTTCTTGCCTTGGGGAGACTCACAAATTCTCTTGAGAACCCAAAGACAGAAGGAAGCCTAATCTAACATTATGGTACATTCTGCTACATTTTAAAAAAACTTTATATATTGTTTCTGAAAACTGCACATTTTAGCCATTCTCTTGGGCAATGTCTATTACCACTTGGCTGTTCTGAACAAGGTCCATAGAGTAGCACACCCAGGCCATCAGCCAACAGTCTGGACCTGTAACAACTTGTTTGAAGGACTTGTGGGGTCAAGCAAGCTTGCAAGGGCTTAAAAGTTTGATCTTTTGTTGGGTCAGCTAGTTATTTTGCCCATTTCCCCCGCCTTACCTTTATGTGCAAAGATCTCTGTGCGGCATCAGCGGGATGGAGGACCTGCAAACCACACATGTCACACACATCTCCATGGATATATACACAGTTTTCTCCATAGCGGCATTCTCCCACTGCGGCATAGGGACATAATTGTTTCTTCATCTCCAGGTTGGTGTGCTGTTTTTCATATTCCTCTTCAATTACCATTCTCTGCATGGGAGTTTCAGTGCAGGATGGAGCAGCTGGAAAACATCAGAATGCAGAATGCTACTCTTAAAGTTTGCATGTAATCATCTGCGCAACTAAGGAAAACAATTGCAGATGGTTAAGGCTCTTGCCTTGATGCTGCTTGTCCCCAACATAAAACTGCTACCATCTTGCCATTATTTTGCACCAGAAAATACTTAACTCAAAACTATGAAGGCCACCACAAACTAAGTACAGCCGTACCTCTGTTTTCAAACATAATCGGTTCTAGAAGAATGAGTTCTGAAATGTTCAAAAACCAAAAACTCAAAATGGAAACCTCAAAACAGAAATCTCAATATGGAAACCACATTTCTGTTTCGACTTCCAAGGCGCGTTGAAAAACCAAAGCATTTGCTTCTGGGTTTAAGGCGTTTGAGTTTCGAAACGTTCGTCAACTGAGACGTTTGAAAATCGAGGTACCACTATACTTATTTTGTTGCAATTCATTTTGTTGCTCTCTGCAACAGGTGAAACCCTTGAAAGGGAACTCACCCCGCCTGCCAGCATGTGGCCACAAATGTTGCATGAACACAAGCTGGCATGCCAAGTTACACCTGAGACATGCAGCACTGCCATGGCTAGGCGTATTTTGGTGGCTTCTACAGAATATGGGGACTGCCACCGCAAGACCATTTCAGCACTCAGAATCAGGTACTGGTGGACCAGTCAACAAAGCTCATTCTAGACATTGCAGCCACCTCTTCCCAGCCATCAAATGCTGACGTGCGGCACCTTGATCACAATGACACAAACGAGATCCCTAGAAGAGTTAAGGGCTGTTTCACTCTGCTGTTTCCGTCACATGATTGTGGCTGTTGATCCATGGCCATTTGAGAACAGGTCAGCATGAACAGGGCTGCACAACAGCACTTTCACCAGCAGCTACAGGCACAGAAATGGCTGCTGGCTCACACCAGGTCTATAGCCCGGGCCACACTCATGTTTAGCTAGACAGTCATGGGCAGGAAGAATGGTAATTTCATTTACTGAGTTAGGCACGTTTGGCTGTCTGTACCCTTTTAAAAATCATATGTTGACTTCATCAGAACTCTCTTAGAAGGAAGTCATGTACTTGGGAACAGAGTGGCAGTTACTAATCAAGCACTTGGATGGAATGGGGATTGGAGTCACTCGAGCAAAGGGCATTCAATAAGACCTGCAGACCAGTGGCAAGGAAATGAGTCTTCAGCCAGCTAAATCATGGCAGATTTTAATCAGCTGCAAGACAGAGTAAGAAAACTCAGGAATCAACACAATATAAAAGGAAATTAATTAAGAAAAGAGCCTTTTCCAAGCCTCTACTCCTTGTGACTTGAATGTGCTTCTTAAGCTTGTGGCCGAGGGGCAGAGCTGCATTAGAGCACAAGGGTAGCTAACTTTTTTGGCTTGAGGACATTGTTCACCCTTGACTATTTCTCTTAGGCAGGCTTCCTCAAACTCGGCCCTCCAGATGTTTTTGGCCTACAACTCCCATGATCCCTAGCTAGTAGGACCAGTGGTCAGGGGTGATGGGAATTGTAGTCTCAAAACATCTGGAGGGCCGAGGTTGAGGAAGCCTGCTCTTAGGATTACATTTCCGAAGTGGGTATGACTACCCCACACTCACACACAAAGCCTGAGGAGGGGGGTTATTGCCCCTTCCCTGCTCATCAATCTGATGACTGGGAAGGGATGATTGGCATCTTCATCATCAGAGTGGACACCGTCTACTTTCTTTTTTCAAGACACCACAGCACTCTGTCTACTGGATAGGACAGGGATTAGCCACCCCTTGTTGTAGCAAGTCACCATGGCCACAGGACAATTGCCCAGGAACAAACTCCACAGCATCCACCCAATCTCCAAGTGCAAATATGGGAGGAACAGATTGAGCATTGCTATAACCCAAAAGGCCTGGGGGAATTTTGAGTGGGAATCCAAACCAGCTTCAAGTCCACCTCTGACACAAGGTATTAATAGTGTAGAACTGTTGTAAGCTGCTCTGTCTCACTAACACTCACCAACCTGTAATAGGGATATTATTTAGTGAACTGCACATCTGGGCTGCTGTATATTACCCTTGCAGCCCAACCTGAAATGTGGCAGTAACAGCTTTGGAGAGCTTTACAGGGCAGTTGCATGCAGCAATATTAGCTTTAACGCAACCCTCAAACTGACTGCAATGGGTTCAATTCCTATGGACAATACTGAAGAGTTGTTGTAAACTCTGAGAACCATCATAAACCACTCTCTCCTGGCCACAGTTCCCTCCAGCCTGCCAAATGAGGACAATAAACTACATTTGCTTTGGATCCTGCATTAGGACGACTATTTTTAAAATATTTTAAATTAAACAAGTCCTGAATTAGAAAAACTCTTATCTTTGCTGCTGCCTTGGGGGTTCTTCTCTCGGAGGCGGAGTTGACACAGTGCTGCCCAATCCCACATATGTTAATGTTTTGAATTTCCCCACTAATACTCATCGGCAGTTTTCATTTCCATCTCCAGGGACATTTAAAAATAACTTTTCAACGCAAACCAGCAAATTACTTATCCAGACAGAGAGATTGTTCTGTGTCCTTTTTATATCTATTTGTCTCTAACCCCATCCCCCCTTTGCTCCATTTCCCTTAGAGAAGAAAAGAGGAGAGAAACCGAGTGAAGGGCAAATGATGGAAAGAAAGTCCTAGCTCAGAACTCTGATAGTTGCTGCAAAAAGTGTGGCAGCACAATGAAAGTTGTCAAGCTCTCTGTTATTTGCAGAATGCTTAAGAAAAACACGACCACATAAATCAATAAATTGGGCTCATAGGTCTTCCAAATGGACCTGGAAGTTGAGATGATCCCATTTTATAGATAATGGATAGCTACTAGAGGCTTGCAGCTAGTATTTTGCCAGATAAATTCCCTACGGCGTGATCACACACTTCCTCAGCCTGATTGCATCCATGTTTACTTGGAAGTAAGCCTCCATTTCAGTGGACCCTGCTCCCAGGTGACTAGCTGTGCCTCTCCAGGGTTTCAGACAGGGGACATTTGCAGCCCTGCCTGGAGATGCCAGGGATTGAACCCAGACCTCCTGCAAGCAAAGAAGATGCTTTACCGCTAAACTATGACTCTTCTCCACTCACAGTTTCCTATGTTCCTAGCATAAAAGAACAACGTCCACATCAATATAGTTCTTTACTGAAACACTACTCTTAATGAGACAATAAGAACATGAAGCGTCAGTGCTGACTGACGTTTATCACTACTGTAGTAAGTCCACTTACCACGGCCACAGTATGGCTGCCCAGGGACAAACTCCACAGCATTCACCCAATCTTCAGCCCTAGCTCCAGCGGCTGCCAGGTCTTTGTCTTCAACTTCAGTTTCACCAGTGCTCACTTCAAGTGTTCCAGGGGACGGGCTCACTTCTGTGGAAGCTGAAGGGTAGGTTTTTATAGCTGGACTCACAGTAGTCACTTCTTCCCTTTTCAATGGCTTGGTATGTTCGTATCTGGTAAGGAAAGTCAGAATTTTACTTTCCTCCCCGAGGAAGACTAATGACATATAGACATTGCACTAAATGTGGACCTTTTCCTAAGAAACTGCTGGCAACAGGAGCGCGATATGGAATGGAAAGCGATTCCGCTGCTATACATGAGGAACTTGTGGTTGAAATTTTTTGCCATGCAGAGCCCACCCACAGCATAGTTGTCAAGTGTGTGCCTATCTGTTAAGCTTGAGAAGGCGAAGTATTTTGTACCTCTGGCACTAGCATGAGATCCAAGGTCCCTTTCAAAAAAAAAAACAAGGTAGCAGAAAGTCTGTCTGCTTCCCGGTTCCCAATAGCTTCATTTTAAGCACACTTACAAACGTAACTCGTTACCAAATGGCTGACGACCAACTCACCTTTCACATGTGTATCCCATCGTTCAGCCGAAGACCACAGGGTGGCAAACATGGGATCATCACATTTTATCCTCACAACTTGCCCACAGCAGCCTGTCAGCTTCATAGCTGGTCTGGGCGCAGAGCTTTGGAATCAAAGTCTTCCTGGCCCAAGGCTAACATTCTATTTGCTACACCACACCGCTACTCTAATCTCACTAAAATAATATTCAATCCGAAGCATTCAAAGTCAACTGGAGGATATAGCTGTCGTCTAGTTGGTCTAAAATTCCACACACTACGGCTCAAATTGTTTAGTGCAGGACATCCAACATCATGCAGAACAGGAATGCAGCTAGTTCTCATAAGGTGGTTGATAATGAGGTTATTTTCCCCTGTAGCTTTTTAGAATTAACCTTATGATAAAACTTACTGTCAGGGAACTGCCATCGGAGCCAGAGGGAGAGGGAGGGCTCCAGAGGGATGCCAGAGAGCGTCCCGGGAGGGAGAGAAGCAGCACGTCTTCTGGCGAAGGAAATCAGTGTAGCACCAGTGGAGAAGGGGGGCAGATGGGGGAATCGGCGAGGTGGCTCCAAGACTCCTCGCCGGGGAGCAGTGGGGAGAGCACGGGTCCTCTGATGCCCACACCCTCCCTGCGCAGAAGGCTTCCGCGCAGGGAAAGTAGGCGGAGACTAGGCGTCAAATAACTTTTATGCTGGAAGAAGTTCAAGAAACGCCCACTAACGGATTCTGCCAGCGACTGAGACAGCCACGGGCGCGTGGCTGTCCAGACAGAAAGGGTTCACTAAGGCAACCAACCAAGGGTGGCGCCGATTTACGCACAAGCAACCCCTAGAACCATTACACTTACATTTGATATACACACATTTGTTACATTTACACCTGGTCTTTCTTCTGAGTAGCTAAAGGCAGTGACCATGACTCCCTGCCCATTTTATCCTCACAACCCTGTGAGGTAAATTAGGCTGAGCGACTGAGAGTGGTCCAAGGCCAACCAGGGAGTTTTGTGGCCTGAGCCATGAACCAGAGTCTCCCTGTACCAGGATTGGCCTTCCAGTCACTCCCTGACATCAGATCTACCCTGTACACGTTACTGTGCTTTGATGTCAAGACTTCTGTTCAAGATCACACCCTATGCATTAAGGTATTTAAATTCTTAAAAGGCAGGTTTGTTTTTAGGCCCAAAAAAATCAGGAATGACTATGCTGGCAGAATAAGCTCATTTACAGGTTACAAGATTGAGGTGGAGGGGTTTGACTGATGATCATGCTCCATATAAATTCTTATATGAACTTAAACAATAGCCTCAACCACACATTCCCATTTCCCTACATCACTATTCCCTCTAAAACCCCTCATAAATTGGCTCTGCACACCAGCCATTACCATTTTTTGAAAATTGCCCCAAACAAACTATGACCTGAAGCCACACCACAATTTCCAGTTCCGGTGTAATGCTAAGCTAAGGACTGTGGCTTGTTGCTCCTGCTGAAGGAGGAGCAAAGAGGGAGTGATAAACTTATTCATGCTGAGCCATGAGCACGGTGATTATTACATCCATAATGGTGTTTGACAACTGTAGAAAGGAGAGTGTTCAAGATGCGAGTGCCCCACGGATGATCACATCCATTGGACTGAGACCTCCCCAATCATATAAGAGACAGGGAGGGAAGTCACTGAGGGTAATGGTCACGAAGAAATGGAATTGGCTGTTAGTTCAAGGCTCAAACATTCAGCAGCATTTCTATACCTGCAACGATCTCCGTAAGCACAGCATCCTCGCTGAAAATACCTGCACACCATGGCAGACTGACTAGTGTAGAGATCATGGGAGTAACGGCAGTTGTCTCCCTCCTTGCAAACGCCATGCATGAAATACCTGAAAGACAGAGCATTGCAAATATGGCCCAAGCAGAAACATCAACATCCTGTAAGAGTTCTAAAGGCATTTCATTCTGCTTGATGCAAATAAATAATAAACCAATGCTGAATAATCCTCTTAAAAGTTCTAAAGCATCATACTAATACTAGTACTAATAGCCATTAATAAACTCGTCCTTTTCTTCCATCAATTAATATAATCCCATTTTAAATCCATCTAAACCATGACCATCACTACATTTTATAACTGCAAATTCCACAAATACACATCATGTGAATAAGTATTTTCTTTTTTCTATCCTGAACCTGCTGCCTTTAAATTTCACTGGATAATTTCCTCCCCCAACTTTGTAAAGTAAAATAAAAAAACAGTTAACATATTAAGATACCAGACATGGAAAAGATGGCAGAGAAGGACGATCAAAATTATCAAGCCACAACACCAATGAGCACCAGCCATCATGGCAAATGGGCAGTCCCTGCAAATATTAAATTATGCAGTTTCTCTACTGTGTAAGGAGAGATACCTTTCTCCCTCTTCCATAATTCTAGAACTCGAGACCATTCAACAAAATTGATGAGCCGTAGATTAAGCACTATTTATAGAATTCATTGCCACGAGATTTGGTAATAGCCGCTGACACAGACAGTCTTGAAATGAGATTAGACAAATTAATGGAGAAGAACAGACCCACCAGCAACTACTGGCTATGGCAACCTAAAAGTCTCTGTGTTCAATGAATTCCTAACCAGTAGCTTGGGGGCAACTGGGGGGGGGGAGACTGTTGCCTTTATGACCTGAATATGGACTTCCTGGAAGCATCTAGTTGGCTACTGTTGGAAACAAGAAGGTGAACTATATAGGTTGTTGGTCTGACCTGGCAGGGCTCATCTTATATTCTTATTTTAACATCTTATTCATCTCTGGAAAAGGCCACTTTTAACATTTTAATTTTCTTTGCCAGTTAAGTGCAGAGATCCCAGTTGTCTTCAGACAAAAAAAATGTGAAAGAGGATGCAAACAAGGTGTTATCTGTTCTCTTTTTTTGCACTGCTCCACAGTGCTGGGAAGAACAACCTGGACTATTTAAGCAAAGGGTGCAACTGGAGCACTAATTCACTTACTATCCCAATCTCCAATGCATACAGTCCCAGTTTGCAACCAAAACTGCCTTCGTGGATGACCTGCACCAGGAACCAGAGGGGGAGCTGTTGGTTCTGGTGTGCCTCTTAGCAGCTTTCAGTTTATTGTCTTGATGTCAAGGAAGCAGTGGAAGTTTTGGACCAGTGTTTGAGTGCAGTAGCATATTTTTTATGTGGGCTAATAAGATGAAATTTAATCCAGACAAGACAAATGTGCCATCAGTCAGCAGGAGAACAGAACCTGGAGTACTGAAAAGTCCTGTTCTGGACAGGGTTGCACTCCCCTTGAAAGACCAAGTTTGCAACTTGGAAATGTTCCTGGATGCTCTGGTGGTGCCTGTGAAGGAGTGTTTTGTACAACTTCGGGTAATTCCCTGGAATAAAGCAGACAGAGGTGGAATCTACACACATGTTAAAAACGTTGTGAAAATGCTTTTTTGAAAAATCGTTTTGAAAAATGCGTTGAATTTGCTGTAGCTCACAATTGTGTCACAATTGTATACTGCACTTTACAACACATTCAAAGCGCTTTATTTGCAGCTGTATAGCTGGGCCCCTGGCCACAGTACCACAAGTCCTGGCCACTTCCAGACAAATCACTGTAACATGCTTCTCTGCAAAATGTTTGCGAATTTAGCTTGTGCAAAATGTGGCAACCAGACTAATTTCTGGAGCCTGCTTCGCTGATCATACTCCTACAATGCCTTTTAATTCTGCCCAAGCTTTTGGGTAGGTTCTGGAACCCTACTTTTATGCTGATCTGTTTTATCATTCTCTTGATTTTAGTCATCTGTTGTTGTTGTTTATAAACATTTCTGTAAACTGAGATTGAGTTTATTTTATAAAGAATGTTTAATTTTTTAAAAAATAGCAAAAAAAGAAGAAGCACTTAAAGGGGCGGTGGCATTCTAAGCATGTTGACTTAAAGAGAAGTTCTGTGGAAATGAAAGAGGACTCATGTTTTAATCAGGGCTGCAAGCTTTGATTGGTTTACTGAATGATTAATCTACCTAAAGCTTTAGCTGCCCCCTTCACCAACTTGGTGCCCTCCCCCAAAAGCTGTTAGACTCCAGCTCCCATCAGCTTCAGTCACAGCATGGCCAATGTTCAGAGTTGAAAAGAGCTTTAGCCTAAAACATCTGAAGAGCACCAAGTTGGTGAAGGCTGCTTTAGTTGATTAATGGTGGCACCACATTTTAATTTGGGGCTATAAATTAAGAACACATTTGCTTACTATTGAAGCCATTTTGATTCCAGCATATTATTGTAACAGGAAACAAAAAAAGATGTTGAAGTTGTGTTTTCCAGCTAAAATGAATTAACAGCTTTTGTTTATTAAATGCTAAGTTGTGCCTTCAACTGCTTTCAGCATTTCATACCCATGTTGTTGTTTTTTTGCAATGCATTTTCTTAAACTCAAATCCATTGCCACTGGATGAAAAACAATTTAACTAAAAACACTACTACTGTAACACTAGAATGAAAGCTTCAAGTACAAGAGTGAGTTCTTTGTCAGAAGAAGTCTAGCCTGAAGCAAAAAATAAAATAAAAATAAAAATGATACCAATCATTAAAGGAAAGGAAAATAATGTTCTCCTAATGAAAATCATGCTATCGGCACTCAATGACCCGAAAAGCTTTATCCCTCTAAAAATAGAAGAAAAACAGAAGATTTGCTCATTTCAGCCAGTAAGCGTTTCATGAATTAAAGCCTTTCTGTCATCATACGATCTTAAGAGCAGAGTCTGACATGCTGAATATTCCTCAGACATCTTCTCGTAATTTTAGAATCAAAGTAAATTAGTCTTTAAAAATACAAAAATTTCTTCAAATACACCCAATGCCCCAATGTTACAATTCCTAGACCTTTACCCCTGTTGCACCACCTGGTTTTATTTTACACTATTAATGTGGCTCTCAATAGAGCTTGAGGAATGCTGCTATGTGATAAACTTGAAAAATGAACTTGACGTCTCCTATGTGCCCTAGACTGGGTTTAGATATCGGTTCAACTGAATTGGAAGCATCAGTCAGCTTGGCCAGCCTTAGACTATAATGGTTACATAGACTTTCTACTCAGAGTAGACAGACTGAAATTAATGTACTTAAGTTACAGTAGATCCATTAATGGACATAACTGAGTACGCCTAATATTAGATACAACCCTAAGCCTTCCAAGTTTGAACTACATCACCATTAATGGTGCCAAAAGCAGCAGGGGTGCCCCACAAATACCTACTGTGATAGTGGAAAATCAATAAATCCATTTAAAAAATAGCATTTGCCAACCCAGTGCCCTCCAGATGTTTAAAAGACAACTCCCATCGGCATAGGACTGATAGGATCTGTCATCCAAAACATCTGGAGGGCACAAGGTCGGCAAATGCTGATCTAGAAGCATATGACCTACACCTTCCTTTTTGTGTGGAAAAGAGCTGTTCACACAAAGAGAGAAAAAGAACCAGACCACATTAGTCCAGAGGTGAATGTATCTCACATGTACTCAAGACAAAATATTTTTCTGTAGGAATCTCTTTTGGAAGCTGGTCCTTACACATGCCCAAACTGCCACTTTCAAATTTGGAAATGCAGTCCTAAATTTAGTAAGCTTCTAACGCAAGAGTTCATGTGTGTGTGTGTGTGTGTGTGTGTGCGCGCGCGCACGCGCCACAGAACTGCCACCCCCCCCCCACTAGAATACGGATGCAAGTTCAGTTTATGTAGAGAAAGGGAGGAAAGCAGAACACACAATATACTGCTCCTGGACCTGACCATGAAATGCAGTTCAATGTAACAAGTGCCTAGCAATAGATAAAGGGCAAAAAAATTAAAATCTTAATTTAACGTGAATGTTCATGTGGTCTGAACTAGTGGAGTGTCTGACAAAGAATGAGATCTTGGGGTGAAGATGCTGACCCATTGCGTGGGAGTTGTGAATAAGGAAATTCCATGCTAGGGTTCATTAAAACTGCTGATATCATAATGCCATTGTACAAATTTATGGTGCAACCACATTTGGAATACATACTGTGCACAATTCTGGCCACCTCATCTCACAAAAACATACTGTTAAGTTGGAAAGGTTCGAAAAGCTCAAGCAAAATAAATGATCAAGGGGATGGAGCAACTTCCCAATGGAGACAGGCTGCAGTATTTGGGGCTTTGAAGTTTAGAGAAAATGTGAATAAGAGATAATAAGATAGAAGTGTATAGAATCACGAATGGCACATAGAAAGGGGATAGAGAAAAGGTTTTCTCCTTCTCCCATAAAACTAGAACTCAGGGACATCCCATGAAGCAGAATGCTGCAAGATTCAGGACAGATGAAAAAAAGTTCTTTTTCACTCAGTACATAGTTAACAACTGAATTCACTTCCACGGACACAGTAAATGCCAGCATTTGGGATGCCTTTGAAAGACAATTAGACTAATGCATAGAAGATAAGGCTATCAATGGCTAATAGTCAAAATGGCTATGCACAGTACATACAACTCCCCACTTGAGCGCAGCACTAGGAACCCGGTGGGTAGCTCACAAGGACATCCTCTTCAGGTTGCGGGAGGGGTCTCCTTGCGAGCTGCAGGCTGCCCAGCTGACACTACCCTGCATGTCAGTTGTTAGGCAGGGAGACTGAGCAGCCTCAACAAAGCCCTGTTGTACCTCCGGCTTCCAAGTAGAACCTCCCTGGAGGATGTCCTCTTCCGGCTCTGAGGAGGGTCTCCTTACAAGCCACAAGGACTCTCCAGGGTGCTCCTCACTTATGTGCATTTCACTTATGCATACAGGGGCCCAGAACGTAACACCCGTGTAAGTGGGGAGTTGCCTGTACTGCAATTTGGCACCAATTTATATCA